CACTCATCTTCAATTAGTGTCGAGGTCAAGAAGAACGTGGACCTACGCTACGCAGTTTGGCCCGTATTATTAGCCTTTTAATAATATTCGTAACGATGATGGGCCGTTCTTCCTGCAGACTGGTCTGTGTTGATTTCCCCAACCCATTCAGCTTCCTCGGTGCTGAAAATTTTCTAATATACATCTCCTAGGTGAGCGTGAGTCCCTTACAGCGGCAGGCGTCGCCATATCACTGCCCACCCTCATGCATATTCAGACCACTGCAACAGCAGGCAGGGCCACGCTTACACCGCTAGAGCGGCACAACAGCAGACCCAGCCAAGCCTCCAGAACACGAACATCTCACGGGCCAGACTTCACTTAACTACAGCCTTATGTAACCATCTGAGGCGCGAAATTGGTCTAAATATGAATTCAGTCCGTACCTCACAGGAAACACATTACGTCTCCGCTACAGAACCCAACCGGTTAATGCAGTTTAGGGAAACAGCCGTTGCTTATTGTGAGAACCGTATGGAACACACAAATACATTGTGTGGGCAGAATGCGGAGTCTTTGCATCATTATCGGGGGTTACATCACAAGTCTGTCAGTATCTCAAGATAAAATGATAGAATGATGAATAATGAACTGGAAAGGATTTGGAAGGAAGAGGTCGTGGCTTAATCCAGGTACTATACCGGGATTAGCCTGACCGAACTGAGGAAAACAAAAATTCTCTCACGATGGTCGGTGTCCCACCCGAGTTTTGAACTGAGTACTTCTCGATTGCGTTACTGCTAAAGCAGCCTGTTCATATTTTTTGTACAGCGGGTGGTACCAATGGTTACCGCTGCCATTCAAGGAGTTAAGTCTTCCTGTGGTTAACAGCTTTATTCTATATACCAACACATATCACACACACAGGTGTTCACGCTTTCATTTCATGAACATGACAGTATAATATTAAAATCGATCCTAAAGGAATATGGGGTGAGGGGTGGACTGGGTTCAGACTGACCAAGAACAGAGTATAGTGGCGGGCTCTTGCCGCCGTGATGACAAACCTTCGGCTTCTACAAGAAAGCAGACAATTTGCTGACCATCAGAGCGACTATCAGCTTCTCAAGAAGACCTCTGCGGCATCGAAATCAGTTAATGTGTGTTAGGTTCGAATCTCGGCCGAGATACCGGCTAGCTTGAGGTCTATCGTGGTTTATCTCGGTCTCTCCAGGTAAATTTCGGGACGTACATCGACCATGACATAATCGCCTCCTTCCAAATCCTTTCATCACACTACACAGTCCAACTACTGACGGCGTCATAACCCCACCCCCCGCAAATGACCCTATTTCCGAGTGACGCCGTGAATATTTCATGAGGCCATTATGGGGCTGAGAAGCACAGACTGAGAGAAGGGTTACTCCACAGGGCTCAATGCCTGATCTCCCTAGGGAAGGGCAACTGTCAGCGGTACTGTATTGGGTTTGATGCCTGTTGAATGTTCCTACCATTGGCGTTTGAATCAATGGATTCTGGCCCGTGAACGCTAAATACTGAACACTGCATCCATTCTGCTTCACCAAACTGCACAAAGGGCACACACAGGCAAACCGCATCGACTGACGTCACGCGCGTGAGAGGGATTTATGAAGTACGCCGCTCAGATGGGCTCAGGTGTCATGATGTACATACAAAGTTTTATAAAAAAAACTGGCCCAGGGATTCAAAAGTTAATGGGGGGATACACAGACCCACATAGACAGCAAGGATGCTGCATAAGCATATTTTTCATTTTTTTTCAAAATTAGGAACGTGGGCTAAAAATCGACCCAAAGACACTACAAATACTTTCTCAGATACGCCTCACAGGTCATGGCCTTATCTGAGTCACTGGCCCCTCTCCCACGAATATTAGAATTTAATGAAAATCGGTGAAACGGTTTTCGAGAAAATTTACATTTGGGAAGCTAGAAGACGCACTGTTACTTTCCCCAAGATACAATCGAGGCAGATTCATTTAGGGAGGCTGTCTTCATACTTTGCTGGAAGTGAATCGCACTTTTGGGGCCGGAACGAGGGTTCGACTTGCACAGAAAAACTCTACCCCCAACATTTGCATATCGCTTTAACAGCCGTAGCTAACGGTGACCGTGTTTTAGAGGCAGCCTGTGTAGCAACTACACGTGAATCACAGCGACACGCCAATTAAGAAACCTCGTCTCATTTTACCCACTTACGCAATTACGCTAAGAGACTTTCCTTATTCATGTTCCTTCTGCTAGACTTTCAGCATAACCAGAACATACGTGCTCCCAGCCAACAGGAATCGATGTATCGATATATCGCTACTGTGAATAGGCGGTGCGTTCAGCAATAAAGGACGAACTACTTCGATACATTTACAAATAAATATTCTCGAGAGAGAGAGAGAGAGAGAGAGAGACAGAGAGACAGAGAGAGGCCGGTAACCACATGATAACATTTTCGTGCCTCTGTACTCCACGGTGTGCTCCACTTTACAGACTGTATACCAGCCAGGGGTCTCCAAAAGAGGTCGCTGTCATCATTTCAGCTGGTCGTAAAGTTTTCCGCCTTTCTGAAATAGAAAAATGTTCATTGCCGTGTTCACAAAAGCCTGCTACTGCTCCTTATTCAGAGGCAACTCAATCGAGCCCACAAACGCACAACCTGTTAGTTGGAGATTCATTTTAGCCCACTTTCCTTATTTTCAAAAAAAAATAAAATTAGGGTTATGCGATCACCTTGCTGTCTGTTTGTGTATCTTACCTATTAACTTTTGAATGGCTGAACAAATCTACTGTATGCAACTTTATATGTACAGGGCACATAAACCCCTCCAAACAGTAGTACTAACACCATAAGTAAAAAAAGTAAAGCTATCCCTGTAACAGGCCGTGGAGTCCCATAGCGTTGTGAGATGTTGAGGTTCTCACATTTTCAAGACAATCGGCTCGCAGATGGCGGTAAGGTTGTCGGCCCTACGCGTCGGCCGCCCTTTACCCCCAAGAATATTCTAAGACTATCCCTGGTACTCATTTATGTTAGAGGCTGAGGCAAACCCCAGGGCGATAGTGCGGCTGGAAGGATTAATCAATTGAAAGTAATCCAATGACTTCATCGGGACTTGAACCCGCGACCTTCCGGCATGTAGCATAGTGCCTCAACCAACTACGCTACCGCGAGTACCAACACCATAGCCTCTCAAATCGTTGAGGTAATAACCTTAATATTACTCAATGCCTGAATCGATCTTCATGAGACTCGGTATGTACTTCATGCCACCTGAGGTTACCTCAACGGTGACCTTCATACTTCACTCCCATCTGTAACGCCAATACTGCAACCTTCGTTTAGTGACTTCGTTATGCATACATACTAAAGTTTTCTTTACACTTATCGTATCAGATACACTTGGTCGTTGACTTACGACCGGCCGCACTTACGACCACAAAAAAAATTAATTAATAATAATTAAAAAATTATAAAGATGATAAAAAGATTAGAAAGGTTAAAAAATACTGATAATAAATATATGGCCGACATACGACCAGATCGATTTACGACCTGTCAGTCAGAACGGAAGTCGGTCTAAGTCGACGACCAAGTGTACTCAAATTACAGTGAAAATAAAGTAGAGAATTGGTTCTTCCCAGAACTTCTTGTAATATTATCCTTGACGCTACGGCTTGGGGTTCTAAGCGGTTCCTTCCCGTTTGGTTTTTGCAGTAGAATCGTGTCTTGTTTGTACTCATCTTCCCATGCATGCTATATGTTCCACCCATCTCACCCTGCACGATGTGATCATACTAACAAACTATGAAACTCCTCAGCGTGTACTTTCCCCACTGTTTTTTTCTCAGATATTCTTACAATTCTCCCCGTTCCAAGACATCCACAAACTATATTCTTGCATAAGATGCAATACCAAGTTTCAGGCTCATACAAAACAACAGATAAAACTAAAAAAGTTTTGTGTTTGTTAATTTTTAAGTTTATAGGCGAGAGACTGAGAACACAGTCTCCGAACAGGAGGGTAGCAAGAATTCTGCGAATTTAACGTTTTCGTAATAAATTCGTGAACGTATTTATAATTATTAAAATCATTAAAAAATAAATAAATAAATAAATAAATAAATAAATAAATGTGGCCCTGCGTCAAAGGATCACGTTTCAATGGCGAATGGGGTGTGTGAAGGAAAATTTCTGTTATTACTAGAACCAGACAGTTAGTTATTCCCCTTGGGGTATCCTATTTGATGGCTAAATACAATTATGTAATGAATACACAGCGGCACTTAGTTACAATGGCGTTTCTGGGACCTGCATAGAGGTACTTACTTAATTCTGTAAAGCACAGTGGTAATTATATGTACCATCTGCGTTCATATTCCAAAACCCTGCACTCTCCTTACAGAATGTATCTGTGTATCCCGTATGGTTCTCACAGTAAACAGCAACTGTTTCGCTAAACAGCATTAACTGGCTGGTCTCTGTAGCGGAAACGTAATGTGTTTCCTGTGAGGTACGGACTGAAACTTTATATATTATTTAGGTAAACTATGGGCTTAAAATGCCGGTCACGGTAGCCGAGCGGTCTAAGGCATGCACTGTCTTCGCTCGCTCGGAAGCCGGGATCGTGGGTTCGAATCCCACTCAGGGCATGGATGTTTGTGTGCGTTTTTCTGTGTTTGTGTATAGGTAGAGGCCTTGCGACGAGCTGATCTCCCGCCCAAGGAGTCCTACCGTATGTTTAAGATCTAGTAAAACCGAAGTGAAACGGAGAGTTTCATGGAGGTAGGCCTAGGCCCAAATGAGGGCTGTAGCGCCAATGAAAAAGAAAATGGGCTTAATATGGTTAGTATGTCCGTTCACATGTGCCAGTTAATTCACAGATCATTAGGCATTGTCAAGTCGTAAAACGACTTGACAACCCAGGTTCTTACTTAAACAATTCCTACTGACTGTACAGACTACAAGAAAAGAACGAGTTATCCTACCTTTGCAGCGAAGAGTGAAACGGCAAGGTTTACGGATGTTACAGCGTCCTGGAATATAGAGAATAAAACAACTTAACTTACAATTTCACCAGAAATAGTAACTCTTTACAAAATGTGGAAATTGGCGCTGATACATAGCCTCTATCAACAATAGCAGCAACTAATTGCATCCATTAGACGTGAGAAATGGACGTATCCAACATCCGCAGAAAGAAAGGGACTCTTGTTTTATTTTGTTCATACTTTTCTTTAAAAAAATGTTAAGCAAAGAAACTTGAAGGAACTTAACACCGCAAGGCTGCACACTGTTTCCTATGACACGAAATGGCGTGGCGGAATGCGTTCCATCTCATAGCACATCTACAAGTGTCTTCTGTAACAAGAGTTCATTTTAAATTAACACGTTTACATCATTACACTTAGATATGTCCGATTTCTTTCCATATCCAAGACTTCTCAAGCATTTTAAGATGAAGATTAATTAAACATTCAGTTCATACCTCACAGAGAACAAAGTGTTTCCGTTACGGAGACCAGTTGGCACTTATACGAGAATCGTACGAAACGTATAAACACGTTGCTGGGTAAACTGCTGACACATGAAAACTGTTAAAACAAATGGTGTGTTACGAGAGGGTAAACAAATGGTTTACTCAAAGACTTTTGGGTTCTTACATCTCGTCACTCTATGAGACGTGGCATGTACGTGTATTTCATCTGGGTACACAATTTCGGCCTGTCACGCTCACAAGTGCCTGAAGATCATGTTTCGGGAGAGAGTTGCCTTCCAAACGTGGTCTTTGATGACATTCATTTCTGGGCTTTCAAGAAGCAATCTGTTGTTTGAAACAGGACCACATTATGGTCATTATGGTCAGGAACTATTAATTAAAGATCCAGCATACTGAATAAGGGACGCAGATGTTAACAAGATCCATATATCACGTTATATTATACACAACGTTATGTATGATGAGGGGCCTTTTTATATAAATAATACGGTTCTATACAAATTCCGTATATACGCATATTTTATTAATTTCTACGGTTAATAAGACCTTCCCTTTAGCTATATGGTTCTTTATTCTCTTGTGGTCAACCTTTACAGTGGAGCTGTAAGTATATGTACTACCTGCTTTAACATTAAAAAGCTTTGCATTCTGCCCACACAGTGTATTTATGTGTTCCGTATGGTTCTCACAATAAACAGCGACTGTTTCCCTAGTCAGCATTAACCTGTTGGTCTCTGTAGCGGCGACGTAATGTGTTTCCTGTGAGGTACGGACTGAATTTGTATATATATTATTTAGATGAAGCTGACTGTTCAGTTTGTGACACACAACTCATATTCCATTTAAGCAGAATGCGTTTTATTAATTCTTTTCGGACAAAGGGCACTGACTATATGGGCAAATCAGTAAATTAGTGCGACATGTTCTGAAAGGGTTCTGCGAGTGTGTGTATATATAAGCATTTATGACTATTAATGTGCGTAACTTTCCACAGCTTTTGTTTGCCATACCGACACGTCGTGTTTTACTCGTTACTATGAATGTTTGTTTGTGCTACTTATCACTCCTGGATGAACAATACATTCACCGCCCACGTTTCATTGTGTCATATTTATACAGATCCCTCCCCTCAAAAAAACTTTCAAATCAATCCATCACAGAGATATTATCACACTGCATATTCATCATCATCATCATCATCATCAGTAATCTGTCAAGACGACAGGTCCACAGTCTCTTCCAAAACAATTCCTCCACTTAATGCGATCTAGAGCTTTCTCCTTCAAATGACAGTATCCTCTTCTGTCCCCAAGGTCATCCAGCATCTTCTTACGTCTTCTTGTCACTTCTCTCCGCCCATCTATCTTTCCTTCAATAACTTCTTTTAGAAGGCAGTTTCTGCGTAAAACATGACCAATCCAATTAGCCTTCCGTTTTCTTATTTCGTGTAGGATATTCCTCTGCTCACTGACTCTAATTAACACTTCTTCATTTCTCACATAATCGGTCCAACTGATCTTCTCCATCCTTCTCCAACACCGCATTTCGAAACTTTCCAGATGTTTCTGATCTACTGCCCTAAGTGTCCATGTTTCAGCCCCACACAGAACTATGCTCCAAATGTAGCATTTCATTAGTTTCTTCCTAAAATTTACGTCCAGTTTGCTGGTAAAAAGATTCTTCTTCTTGCTAAATGCAGCTTTTGCCATGTCAATCCTGGATTTAATTTCACTAATACACCTTCCATCATCTGTTAACAAGCTACCCAAATATTTAAAACACTGCATATTAGAGACACAATATACGTCTGGCTGTTACCGACTTCGAGGACTATCAAAACGATGCATCTATGATCTGACATTCTTACAGCAGTTTCTATCTTCTATGATATAACGCCATCTAGTCCGTTAAAAGTCAACAGACGTTTCGGAGGAACATGTCGGCAAGACGATCGGAGCTGACATGTTCCTCCGAAAAGTCTGTTGACTTTCACCGGACTACACGGTGTATATTCTAGAAGAGAGAACTCTTTAATGTACAGGGTAAATCATACGCCCTTCCGGAAATCACAACAGTAGTTTACAATCACTCTGTAGACCAAATACATGGCTACAAGAGTACTGTGATTCTAAATTACTGTCGGGGTTTCCGCAGGGATCACGAATTACTCTGTATGATAGTTCTCTACGGCCGCTGTAGGCGTGTTTCTTTAATGATGCTTTCACTACTTGCTACCGCACAGAGGCGAATGCCAATAATGTGGAAAGTACTGCGCCAGCCTTTACCTCGAGGCACTGGGGGAAATCTGAAAATTATCTGAAGGCGTGACAGCCCGTCTCAGGGCCGAGATTTGAACGCAGGACCTTCCGAATACGAAAGATGACTCATACCTACATCAATGGGACTTTCGGTGACGCTGTATCAACTGCACACGTTCAACAGCATGGTTAAAAGGAAGTGGCAGTGACCTGGTCTGACGCTTTACATTAAAGTTGAATTCGCAGCAAGAAGAGAACCTCCTCGCACAGAGTGGAACGTCGAACCCCTGACATAAGGCAGGTCACCATTTAAATGCTAGAAAGACAAGCCCTTCAATGCAAAAGACTGCACTGAAAGGCTAATTAACTTATAATGTAAATGCATGTAAGTTCTGTGAGTCTGGAAGAATTTACGAAAAGAGTACATGGCACATTTCACGTGGCGTAGTTATACGAGATTCGAAGTTCTCACTGCAGTGAATATCAGGAATACTGTCTCTGGACTAACACGCCGTGTAGTCTGGTAATGTTTGACGATGTCCCTCCGAAACGCCGTCACATCCCACAGTCAGTTATAATTCATTAGTCAACCTTCCGAAATTTATCCGAATATTGCAGAAATATCAGTTCGTACCTCACAGAAAACACAATAACTGTATTACAAAGACCAACTGGTTAAAGCCGTCTATGGAAAACTGGTTAATGTGAGAATCATGCGAAACACATAAATACATTGTCACGATTTGGGGTGACTATAGATTGGGTATGGATTGGATATTGGATTTATTGACACCACTAGGAACCACAAGTAATACAGTACCACAGCTATCTCCGAATTTTACAACTGGACACAGCAAACACTAAGCCTCTTTAGGCTGGTGTGTCTTAACCAGCCGTTCCCTGGCAACGGTTTCTAAAAGTGGAGTCTTGAGCTTCCCGCGCTCAGATCCTAGTCACAACCGCCCGTGCAAGACTCCTGTCAATTCTCCAATCCCAAACTGCCAACTGACAACTACGAACTCAACTATAGAGCCATCTCTTCTCGGTCTCCCTTGCAGAGCTCAACTGACTGCCAACCCTCAACTCTCAATTATCCCAGTCAACTGCAAACTGCCAACTATCCGCTAACTCTAAAATTCCCTGAGCCGGCCTGGGGTTCTCGTTATATAGGCCCGGTGCGGACCCAACAGAAAACATATTTCCAACAATTCCTTTATTGTTGTAGGTGTGTTTACAATCCGTTGTCTATAAACGGCCGTTTGTTGATTCACCTATTGCATAGCAACGGCTGTACTCATTAAAATATATTAACCATCGCAATTTTAAAATAGTTACATAGGATGTGTCAGTATGAAACGCTGGAACATACAGTGAAACAGAATCAAAATACAAACACGACAAACACTGGGGCGTGTAGACTCCTGCCATACTTATGCATACTTCAGTGCATTCCGCTCTGTTCCAGCCTCCAAGATATTTTAGAACAGTTCCTGCGGACGTAGCGATGACTTAACGTCCTGCCTAGATCATCCCACGCCACTCACATTTCTCGGTATGAACTCCAATTAGGCCGCGGCCTTGGAAAGAAAACGGCATAAGTCAGTGCGCAGAATGCAACACTAAAACAATGAAAGTCTCCACGACTTGGCATTGCCTAGGAAATTGCTGCTCATTTGAACACACAAAATTAATTCTCAGCTGTGACGAAAAGAAATTTATGCTGGCTGCGGAAAAGGCCGCTTTTGTCCATTCCTAGTGGACCCGACACTTGATTTCTGCCAGTTCTCTTTCAATAATCCGCTCCCCACCTGTGGCGATAAACTTTATTGACAGTCGGAAGATATGGAGAGACACGGATAAGCAAACAGCCCACCATAAACCAACGTGGCATTCCATGGACCGCTTACTTATCAGTCCACATCTTCCTACTGGCTAGGTCCGGGTTCATTTCCTTACCCCTTCCTCCGGCCTCATAATTACCCTTCTTGTAACATCCCTACATAACCAGGCCTACCTATACACTTCAACCCTGAAGATGGAGAAAACGTGTTCCGCCGAAACAAGGTATCCGCCCACGGTATCCCCACGGTGCCACAGCCCACAAATTCATAATCTAGACACAAGATAGATCTTTCTTCTGTCCGGAACCAGATTTCAACCACGCGTCTTCCGAATACAAATCAAAAGCGGTTACCAGTTGAGCCAATTTTGTTGGGCCGGGCGGCAATCTGCATTCGCCACGAAATTAGGTACGTGTTCCACAGTCCTCCATTCGTCA